TATATATATATATAAAAATTTAATTTGCTTTCTTGGCGTGACAGATCAACAGAAGTCAAGCAGGATATTTTTTATCCACAGATGCTCTATACTGTTTTTAACAGTGTATTTTTTTTTTAAGTAAAAGGGTATAAAATTATATGGTAAAACCTGGTAATTGGTTACTATTCCTTCACTATAAATGGCAAAAAACTGTACTGGATTTAACAGGACATTTTGTCATTTTTTTAACAGTAAAATGCTTTTAAATGTACAGATTTTTGTAAGTGAAAACTATGGTCTTATCATTTACAGCGAAAAACCATAAACTGAAATTCCCATAACTTGCATTTTGCCTGTTACCTGTATCATTATTGTGGCTATCAGTATATTACACAGGTATAAAATAGATCGTATTACTTTAGGTGGCATATTAGCATTATGCCAGTTAATGGAATGTACAGATTTGTACCATAATTTTAGTACCGTCCCCTTGAATAGTATTCTTTATGGTACGGTTTTGCTAACTTTTCTCTCAAATTCGGATGTTCCCAGAAGTGTTCCGGGGATTGTACAGGGTTCTTCTTTTCAGTGTATTCGTCACACTTGGTAGGAGTGCATCTGCAGCTCTCAACATAAATGTAGTCATGAAGGATCTCGCTGCTGTTGGCACACTTCAGCATCACCTGTCGTTGGCTGAATTTCTCCTCCTGGCAGCAAGAACAGTTGTGCATCATGATGTTCTTTTCCATCGAATACCTGCACGGGTTTACAAGAAAACACCAGTCAGATGGCTGCAGTATAGCTGGATGTGAGCTTATCCTAACAAAGGTTTGGATGCGTAAGGCACAATTAATAATGTATGAATTTCAACAAATACATGATGAAATACCAAACAAAATGGCTAACAAATGAGCTGACTTCACTTTATTGAGCCTTTCTGCTACTGGTTTCAAGGTGATTTGTTTTTGTGGATATTTGTCGTTGTTGTTTTTGGATCATTACTGTTACTCTGTAACTCTTAAGACATTTACGGTTTTTCTGAGAATTTGAAAGAAAAAAAATAATTATGTGTCATGAATAGGTGTGCAATTCTCTCACCTTGATCCGTCGTCACAGTGGCCAGTGCAGGATGCAACTTCTACATCCTCGATGGAATTGCAATCTTTCACATGCAGACGGATGACGTTCTTCTCAAGAACACAGTTGCTGGTTTCACCTGAGAGATAACAGAGGCAGGTAAGCCTTACCTCTCGTGAACAATATATGCTTTACATTTTATGTAGTGCCCAACATGTTATTTTTCAATTTACTTAACATCATTTAAATGATCTGCATAAATAGGGTGGAAAAACAATTATAACGTTTTTGTCAGACTTTAAGGAAACAATGTCTTACAGATCTGGCAGCATCCATCTTTATCAAATTGCACTGTTCCCTGTAAGAACACAAACAATAGAAAGGAAACCATTTAATATGGTAAAATTCTGTCTGAATTGTGAGATAAAAAGTCACAATTATCTTTTTTAATGTATTTGACCTGTGGCCGAAACAGGATTCCATACAAAACAATGATCACAGCCATTTGAACATAATTACTTTTCCCAAACATATTGTACATTTTCATTGATTTGCTACAATTTGCACATCTTATTTTCTTTAAACACTACCATGCAATTCTCCAATCCAGTATTCAAATGGTTAACACTGCCATTTAGACTTTTTTTGTACAATGTTTTGACACAATGAGTAATTTATACTGCAGAAGAATGTCAAAGCGGCTTTTTTATTTTTTGTGAATAATTGACATTTGGTCCCTTACACAAAGAATCTAGAAGACTACATTTGTAGTGTCCATTTTTAAGCCCTTATCCACTTTCATTGCTTGGAACAATATGGAGGTGAGTAAATGGTGACATATAAAATACAAGCGGAACAAGGATGTAATCTGTGCTCCTCAAGTTCAGATGCTGTACTTACAGGCACACAGTCATCTGGATTAAAGGGCGGGCACTGCTTATAGCTCTCCATTATCATAAACATGCCATTCCTTTTCAGACAGGTAGCATTCATGCATTTAAAATAGTACTGCTTTCCATCCTAAACAAAAAGAAGACTGAAACATGAAGACTGAAGAACAGAGCAGATGATGAACTGAAATAATTGAAGAAAAGTTTGAGAATATTTTTAAATGTACCTTGAGAACATGTCTGGTTTTGTCTGGTGCATCATAAATACAGGCCACTTGTCTACATGATCCACAGCACTCTCCATCTTTTTTCACATATTCAAACCCCTTGAAGTGCAAAAACAAACAAGTTTATATGATAGTTTTAATACTACCGCACACAATGCTGCATTGGGGCTGTCACAAACATCCTCAATAGTTGGAAAAATGTGCAAAAATGTGAAATAAGCAACAACCAAAAACATTCGGAAGAAGTGTTTGATGCGGAGTTGAAGCTATAGATTCTACTTACAGGCCCACAATCAAATGAACTCAAGTAAGGACATTCTGTTTTGGTCTTCTCAGTCACAAACGAGCCATTCAATTTATGACAGGTAACAGTTTCACATTTGTAATTGTCAACGTCTCCATCCTAACAAAAGATAGACAAACTCCATTAGGGCTGAAGAATAAAGCAAGATTCTTTGTCTGATGAACTGAAAGACTGAATAAAAGTTTAAGAATGTTTCCAGTGTACCTTGAGAACATGTCTGATTTTGTCTGGTGCATCATAAATACAGGCAACTTGTGCACATGTTCCACAGCACTCTCCAACTTTTTTCTCATATTTAAACCCCTTGGAGTGAAAGATAATTGTATACAGTGGTTTTAATAATCCAGTGGCACCTTTTACTGCATTTTCAAATGTTTTAAGTAATACTTTACAAATGATGATGTTAAAAATGAGATGTAAAACAATATAAAATATTTATTTTTATAAAAATATTTTTATATAAATATTAATATATAAATATTTTTATATCTTTCTGATCTCGTCTCCCTTTCTCTCATACTTTGCTTGTAAATATTGTTCTTAATCTTATCCTAATAAACGAGAAAAAAACTGCTTATTATTATTATTATTATTATTATTATTATTATTATTATGCGAATTTCCATAATAGATGGAAAAATTTGCAAAAAATTGAAATAAGCAACAACCACAATACATCCAGAACTAGTGTTTTATATGTGCAGTTCAGGCTAGAGAATCTACTTACAGGCCCACAGTCCTTTGAACTCAAGAAAGGACATTCTGTGTTGTTCTTCTCAATCACAAACGAGCCATTCATTCGATGGCAGGTAACAGTTTCACATTTGTACTTGTACTCCTCTCCACTCTACAAAAAGACAGCCAGAAGACTGAGGAACAGAGCAGATTCTTTGTCTGATGAACTGAAAAGATAGAGAATGTTTTCAAATGTACCTTGAGAACATGTCTAGTTTTGTCTGGTGCATCATAAATGCAGGACCCTTGTGTACATGATCCACTTGGGCACATGTCAATGGCACAATCTACAACAGTGAGAGGGGACTTAAAAATGGCACTGCAATCTTGAAGGAAATCCTATTAAAAAGAGAAACAAACTAATCTTACGGCAAACTTGTTTGCTACAGCATGGCTCTGAGGGATTGGTGACATTGACCAGCACAAAGCCGCGCTCAGTGCAGATCTCAGGATTTACATCAGGACACTCTTTGGGCTTACAGAACACTGATTGGCTTGCCCTATCACAGACACAGTCCTCACAGTTGTACCTAAAACGCTCATCATACTGCAACGGAAACAAAAAATTAACAGCCATGGGATGCTTTTTCAACAAGTGGCTATTAAATGAACAGTTTAAACCTTGCTGTACCTCACGTGGAGTCCCAGACGGGTCCAAGCATCCTACAAGAAAAGACCAAAATCAGAAACTTTCTAAAAAATGGTTATGACATGCATGTTGATGTGTTTGATGCAGGTACAGTATTAAGACCAAGGCGCCACCTCTAATAGACACACACACGCATGCACACACACACACACGCACGCGCGTGCGCGCACACACACACACACACACACACACACACACACACACACATACTGTAATGGCCTCTCACCACATTTTGGCACACATAATCCTGACTCCTTGTTGAAGAGTATTGTGTTCTCAGGGCAGAAGCAGCCTTCTGTGGGCACTGTTATGCTCTGCATAGGCCTGGAATTCAAATATGATTTACAGCTTATTACACACAATACATTTATATCACATTAAAATTTCATCCTAGGCTGTTTTAACACTGCAATCCAAGGAGGGTGTCAGTATTTTTAAGCACTCATCCAAACTTTTGACTCAACTGCATGTGTAATGTGCAAAATATTTTGGCATGCTCATCAGAAGTAAACAATAAGATATTGTTTAACTCTTAAACTGTACAATAATGCTATCTCCTATCTCCTACCCATGTATATTTGTCATTAATCAGCACTGAATTGTGTCTTTCCACAATGGTCTAAATGATTTCAGAATAAAAGGAAAAAGGGACATAGCCTACCCATCTCTACACGTTGGTGGTTCAGATGGAACACAAGGCAAAAAGATTTTATCTTCTGAACATTTAATGTCTGAGGAAGAAAAGTTAAAACAATTTCTTAATTCAAATCTCTATAGCACCTGCACAACATTCCACTTGAAACAGGAAAATTAGTCTTCAATCAAAACGTATTTAATTTGATAAAATATATTTATACAGATTAAATTAAATCGGTTTGGTATATCAATGAACTTACTGCAATGCTTAGTGTAGTTCCTCCAATGTATGCAGACTCCGACCTGTGAGCAAGCACTTGCATAGCTCTGAAGACTAGCACACACCATGGTGGAGTTGTTCATATTACAACTATCCAATTGACAAGCTAAAAAGAAGTTTTTAGGGGGCACGTGGGAATGGCACGCGTCGAACAGCCTGGGGGAGTTTAGAATGAAGAATAGATGATTGAAAGGACAAATATTACTTTGGAAGCAATCATGCAAAGTTTGTTGCACTTTTTTTTAATTACACCTCATAGAATGCACTCACTTGCTCTCGAGAAGGTTACATTCAGATTGGGCTGGGCATGGTGTCTTTGGCATGGGTGGGGATATATTCAAGACTGGGGGTTTTGGAGTTGGTTGGCAATTTTTGCCATTCACACCACTGGCTGGCCAGTAATCTGCCATCACTTCACAGTCATTGACCAAGATGCCTCCAGGGATCATGCAGTCATCAGCCTGGTTGTTGTTGCACGTTCCTTAGTGAGAATTATTTGGAATAATTTAGATTAATAATGCACAAAAACAAACCTCTTCATACAACAACGGCTTTCCTTTTTTATTTTACATCACCATGCACATATTGTTTTATTAAACAAAATACTTTTTTACAGCTTTCACAGTTAGTGAAATATTTACAAAATATCCTTTTATTTATCTGTTCTCCGCTACAACTTATGATTTTATTGTTAAATTACTTTAACCTGATATGACCTCCTTAACCCTTTAAACTTTTTTTTTTAATGTGCTGACTTACCACAGTGGCCTTGTGTGTTGTTTCCAAAATGCTGCAATGGCAGATTGATGCTAAAGCCAAGGGTTCTGAATGTTATATCAACATTCAGCTCTGGAATACTCAGAAACAAGTCTAGTCCTGAGCTTATTACTCTCACACCATGGTGAGCATATGGCAGCGTTAGCTTAACATTGTCCTTCAGAGCCTTATAGAAAAACAGGCATCCACAAAGAAAACCAACACATTTACAATACAGTGCAGACCAAACACATAGTGAAAGTCTTTTCGCAATCTTACTGTAGGTCTCACCTCTAGATCTGCACCTCCAATGTGATTCCTAAGTGTGATGACTTGATCATTGTAAGACGCAGTAATGGATCTGGGACAAGATGCATGCTCACCAATGTCACAGTAGATATAGTCAATGTAGATCTTCAAATGGTATTGAGGCCTAATTTCCTCCATTAATATATAAGTGCAGTTTCCTTGATAACTGTAGAAGAGTCCATCAAATGTGATGTAATGTGAGTTACCCCAGCCTTGACAAAAGCCTATGATTAGGAGAGGGTGGAAAAATAAGAAAAGGTTATGGACCAAACACTAAAGTTAGTCAGTTATTTCAGTAGTCCTCAGACCCATCTGGGGTTTCACAATCAAACCTTCTAGCAATACCATCAGCACAGTATAATTTTATTGCTTATAATGTTTATATTTTTTTGTCCTGTTGTCAATGCAGGATCAGGATCTTTAATTTGGTTGGAATTTGTTGGAATTTTGGTTGTAAAAGTGTATTTACAGTTCCAAATCTCATCAGTTGAGTTAGAGTAGGAACTAAATAAAAAATGGTAAACCATAGGACTGAGCAGACCCTTTGGTGGAGTGGTGGATAGTGTATGCTTTGGTGGCATAAATGGCATCCACTTCACCTTACGCAATGTGTACTTAAAGAATGTAAAATGCTACATGCACAATGAGCCAGGAAAGAGGACATTATTATAAATTTCAGTGACTGATGGCAACCACAAAGTTAGAACTACAGAAGGAACAGTTTACTTACAATCACAGGCATACTGCTGGCAGCATTGGCGCTTATCATAGACCAGAACTGTCGGCTGATGATTTTCACAGGTGATGTTCTGGAGCAGAGGACATTGCAATGGGGCAATCTCGATGACGTCTCCCTTTATGCACTTTGCCATAGTGCAGTTAGATATGCTGAAGGTCTCGTTAGTCTGGAAATATTAAAGAAAGTACTAGAATTAGAGAATCTGATGAAAGGCAAATTGAATGGTATTCATTTGTTGCTTCCTTGGCTATTTCAAAATGGGCAAGAAGAACATTCATAAAAAATGTATTCTTGCAAAAACATCGCATTTTGTACTTATAAATTCTTACACTGAAAAAATGATAACCTAAAAAATGTGCTCGATGTGGTAACTGAATCAACCTAAATATATTAGGTTACACCAGCAAAACTAAATTTAAGGGTAAGATCAGATAGGAATAGTTCTTTAACGTAATAATCACAGGTTACCACTTTTTACAGTGTACTATGAAATGACACGTTTGTGTAATCAATAACAGAATGAATGTATATGTTAAATGCATATGTATATTTTACAGTTTTGTTCCATTTAGGACAGTCATATTGTGGAGCAGGTGTAGGTGATATAGGTGACGGACATAGCTCAGTGCTGTTCTGAATTGCACAGGTTATGGAGCAGATCATGGTGAGACAAATCCCTGAGCCAATGTGCTTCTGATCCAATATTGACTGTCCTATAAAAAAGGGAAAGTAATCAGAATTGAAACAACAGAACTGTTAGAAAATTTCTGACAATTGTAGAAAATTTAAATGGTTTTACAATTCAATTTACAGTTACTAACCAGGCTTATATTGTCTTCCTTGAACTACACAAAAACACAGTATAGTGCTCTGACTTGTAGATGTAGGTGTAAACGGTGTAGAAACAGTTGTTTTAACAATTTGTGGATAATTCAAAGGGGGAGTTGTGGTATGTCCATGGACAATAATTATTGGTGTGTTAGTAGAGGAGGTAGTAGTAGATGTAAATGTTAAAGTAGGTGTTGTGGAACTAGTTGTACTAGTTTTAGATGGTATTTCTGTTGAGGTAGGTGGTGCATGAGTAGTTGTAGTAGTGGAGGTGGTTGTATATGTTGAAGGTGTTGTGCCAGTAGTTGTGCTAGTTGTAGATGCTGTTTCTGTTGAAGTAGGTGGCAAAGGAGTAGTTGTAGTAGTGGAAGTGGTTGTAAATGTTGAAGGTGTTGTGCCAGTACTTTTACTAGCTGTAGGTGGTGTTTCTGTTGACACAGGTGGCGTAGGAGTAGTTGTAGTAGTGGAAGTGGTTGTAAATGTTGATGGTGTTGTGCCAGTACTTGTACTAGTTCTAGGTGGTGTTTCTGTTGACACAGGTGGTGTAGGAGTAGTTGTGGAAGTGGTTGTAAATGTTGAAGGTGTTGTGCCAGTACTTGTACTAGTTCTAGGTGGTGTTTCTGTTGACACAGGTGCCGTAGGAGTAGTTGTAGTAGTGGAAGTGGTTGTAAATGTTGAAGGTGTTGTGCCAGTACTTGTACTAGTTCTAGGTGGTGTTTCTGTTGACACAGGTGCCGTAGGAGTAGTTGTAGTAGTGGAAGTGGTTGTAAATGTTGAAGGTGTTGTGCCAGTACTTGTACTAGTTCTAGGTGGTGTTTCTGTTGACACAGGTGCCGTAGGAGTAGTTGTAGTAGTGGAAGTGGTTGTAAATGTTGAAGGTGTTGTGCCAGTACTTGTACTAGTTCTAGGTGGTGTTTCTGTTGACACAGGTGCCGTAGGAGTAGTTGTAGTAGTGGAAGTGGTTGTAAATGTTGAAGGTGTTGTGCCAGTACTTGTACTAGTTCTAGGTGGTGTTTCTGTTGACACAGGTGCCGTAGGAGTAGTTGTAGTAGTGGAAGTGGTTGTAAATGTTGAAGGTGTTGTGCCAGTACTTGTACTAGTTCTAGGTGGTGTTTCTGTTGACACAGGTGCCGTAGGAGTAGTTGTAGTAGTGGAAGTGGTTGTAAATGTTGAAGGTGTTGTGCCAGTACTTGTACTAGTTCTAGGTGGTGTTTCTGTTGACACAGGTGCCGTAGGAGTAGTTGTAGTAGTGGAAGTGGTTGTAAATGTTGAAGGTGTTGTGCCAGTACTTGTACTAGTTCTAGGTGGTGTTTCTGTTGACACAGGTGCCGTAGGAGTAGTTGTAGTAGTGGAAGTGGTTGTAAATGTTGAAGGTGTTGTGCCAGTACTTGTACTAGTTCTAGGTGGTGTTTCTGTTGACACAGGTGCCGTAGGAGTAGTTGTAGTAGTGGAAGTGGTTGTAAATGTTGAAGGTGTTGTGCCAGTACTTGTACTAGTTCTAGGTGGTGTTTCTGTTGACACAGGTGCCGTAGGAGTAGTTGTAGTAGTGGAAGTGGTTGTAAATGTTGAAGGTGTTGTGCCAGTACTTGTACTAGCTGTAGGTGGTGTTTCTGTTGACACAGGTGACACAGGTGCCGTAGGAGTAGTTGTAGTAGTTGTAGTAGTTGTAAATGTTGTAGGTGTTGTGCCAGTACTTGTACTAGCTGTAAGTGGTGTTTCTGTTGACACAGGTGCCGTAGGAGTAGTTGTAGTAGTGGAAGTGGCTGTAAATGTTGAAGGTGTTGTGCCAGTACTTGGACTAGCTGTAGGTGGTGTTTCTGTTGACACAGGTGGCGTAGGAGTAGTTGTAGTAGTGGAAGTGGTTGTAAATGTTGAAGGTGTTGTGCCAGTACTTGGACTAGCTGTAGGTGGTGTTTCTGTTGACACAGGTGCCGTAGGAGTAGTTGTAGTAGTGGAAGTGGTTGTAAATGTTGAAGGTGTTGTGCCAGTACTTGGACTAGCTGTAGGTGGTGTTTCTGTTGACACAGGTGGCGTCGGAGTAGTTGTAGTAGTGGAAGTGGTTGTAAATGTTGAAGATGTTGTGCCAGTACTTGTACTAGTTGTAGGTGATGTTTCTGTTGACACAGGTGCCGTAGGAGTAGTTGTAGTAGAGGAAGTGGTTGTAAATGTTGAAGGTGTTGTGCCAGTACTTGTACTAGTTGTAGGTGGTGTTTCTGTTGACACAGGTGCCGTAGGAGTAGTTGTAGTAGTGGAAGTGGTTGTAAATGTTGAAGGTGTTGTGCCAGTACTTGTACTAGTTGTAGGTGGTGTTTCTGTTGACACAGGTGCCGTAGGAGTAGTTGTAGTAGTGGAAGTGGTTGTAAATGTTGAAGGTGTTGTGCCAGTACTTGTACTAGTTGTAGGTGGTGTTTCTGTTGACACAGGTGCCGTAGGAGTAGTTGTAGTAGTGGAAGTGGTTGTAAATGTTGAAGGTGTTGTGCCAGTACTTGTACTAGTTGTAGGTGGTGTTTCTGTTGACACAGGTGCCGTAGGAGTAGTTGTAGTAGTGGAAGTGGTTGTAAATGTTGAAGGTGTTGTGCCAGTACTTGTACTAGTTGTAGGTGGTGTTTCTGTTGACACAGGTGCCGTAGGAGTAGTTGTAGTAGTGGAAGTGGTTGTAAATGTTGAAGGTGTTGTGCCAGTACTTGTACTAGTTGTAGGTGGTGTTTCTGTTGACACAGGTGCCGTAGGAGTAGTTGTAGTAGTGGAAGTGGTTGTAAATGTTGAAGGTGTTGTGCCAGTACTTGTACTAGTTGTAGGTGGTGTTTCTGTTGACACAGGTGCCGTAGGAGTAGTTGTAGTAGTGGAAGTGGTTGTAAATGTTGAAGGTGTTGTGCCAGTACTTGTACTAGTTGTAGGTGGTGTTTCTGTTGACACAGGTGCCGTAGGAGTAGTTGTAGTAGTGGAAGTGGTTGTAAATGTTGAAGGTGTTGTGCCAGTACTTGTACTAGTTGTAGGTGGTGTTTCTGTTGACACAGGTGCCGTAGGAGTAGTTGTAGTAGTGGAAGTGGTTGTAAATGTTGAAGGTGTTGTGCCAGTACTTGTACTAGTTGTAGGTGGTGTTTCTGTTGACACAGGTGCCGTAGGAGTAGTTGTAGTAGTGGAAGTGGTTGTAAATGTTGAAGGTGTTGTGCCAGTACTTGTACTAGTTGTAGGTGGTGTTTCTGTTGACACAGGTGCCGTAGGAGTAGTTGTAGTAGTGGAAGTGGTTGTAAATGTTGAAGGTGTTGTGCCAGTACTTGTACTAGTTGTAGGTGGTGTTTCTGTTGACACAGGTGCCGTAGGAGTAGTTGTAGTAGTGGAAGTGGTTGTAAATGTTGAAGGTGTTGTGCCAGTACTTGTACTAGTTGTAGGTGGTGTTTCTGTTGACACAGGTGCCGTAGGAGTAGTTGTAGTAGTGGAAGTGGTTGTAAATGTTGAAGGTGTTGTGCCAGTACTTGTACTAGTTGTGGTTGGTGTTTCTGTTGACACAGGTGGTGTCGAAGTAGTTGTAGTAGTGGAAGTGGTTGTAAATGTTGAAGGTGTTGTGCCAGTACTTGTACTAGTTGTGGGTGGTGTTTCTGTTGACACAGTTGGTGTAGGAGTAGTTATAGTAGTGGAAGTGGTTGTAAATGTTGAAGGTGTTGTGCCAGTACTTGTACTAGTTGTAGGTGGTGTTTCTGTTGACACAGGTGGTGTAGGAGTAGTTGTAGTAGTGGAAGTGCTTGTAAATGTAAAAGGTGTTGTGCCAGTACTTGTACTAGTTGTAGGTGGTGTTTCTGTTGACACAGGTGGCGTAGGAGTAGTTGTGAATGTTGAAGTAGGTGTTGTGCTAGTAGTTGTATTAGTTGTAGATGGTGTTTCTGTTGATGTGCAGGGTTTCTGTATTGTGATCACAGTGGCATTTATACAAACTGCATAATAGCACATTCCCATGTCATCCTTAATGTTGTAAATGGTGTCATTGTGGCCATATTGTTTTCCACCATAGTTACAGCACCCTGTAAGATGCAAAACAACATATTTTTAGATTATTGTGAGTATTAAAATACATAAGGAAAAGAAAATCGTAACTATTTGTCAGGATTTAAACTACAAATGTTTTTTTCTGTGTTTAGTGTTTCACTTACCAGGTGTTCGAAAACATTGTATATTGCCATGTTCATTACAGATGCTGTCAAAAGAATGTCACATATTAGGTAATTTGAATAAGAGTAACAGGTGGAGGAACCACCCACAGAAATTTATGCTTTATATACTTTGTCAGGGTCTACATCATGGTCCATACCACTCATGACAGGACTTATCAGTTGGTATATTCTCTTCAGGCTTGTACTCGATTCCATTGACATAGCATGTGGGAATACACTCTTTCACACAGACCTGATTCTGCTCATCAAAAATAGGTTTGTCCTCTGGACATTTTGGATAACATCCTGCATTAAAAATTTTTTTTTTAAAAATGGCAGTTTCATGAATATTTCTACGTGGCCCAGTATCAATGGTCCCTAAACTTAGCAATCATTAAAAAATGTTTAGCACTACATATAAGTCCAAGAAACATCCGTTGTGTACTATGAATACTCAGTCTTCGAAAACTCACCTTCCAGGTTGGGTAAAGTGTTATTGCAGATACTAAGAGGGTTGCGACAGGTTTTGTAGCAAGGTATACCACAAGGATTATAATGCCATGTGCATCCTTCTGGTTTATTGTAGTAGTCACAGTACACAGCTGATATGGGAATATGGACATAAGTATGAATACATACACACAGAGTAAATTAAATACAGTAAAAGCGCAATGGCTGAAGATTCTGAATCTACATGAAAATTCACATTTGGATATTACAGATTTAGTATGTGCACAAGAATTAAAGATGCTTACGGCAGATCTCAGGGGTTCTCCAGTCCACACAAACACCTGCCTCATTGCAGGCTTGAGCATAAGCTGCAACAGCTGTACAGAAGCACTCACAATCTCCACCTGTGTCACATGCACACGAGTCCTTCACACAGTTCTCATAATATGGGTTTGGATCCACCTGTGGGAACAAGCATTTCCATCCTTTATGCTGGATTCCTGTATACCACATTATAGGAAACTTCCTTTATTGATTTAAAATGCTTTCAAACTGTACCTTGTTATGGCAATGTTTCAAAGCACCTTCACGGTCCTTTATGATGCTACATTGTAGTTTTGCCCATGGCTCTCGTTCAAGGTTCTTAAAGCATGGGTCAAAGTCTGGTGCAGCATCAGGGCAGGTGCCTAACACTTTCCAGCTGTCGGCAAACTCCATTATATCTGTGGTTTGCAAACTGCCTTGAGTAGTGAAGTCATCTTTTCCATTCCCATTGAAATTTCCACATAGTCCACAAACGCCTCCCTGTGAAAATATAAAGATCACATATCTCTGGAGTTCGGTCACCAACATTAATATCTTCTCTGTTTATATTGGTTACTGTACTTATTAAAACTTTGGAAACATTACAGTTTTTATATATTTTTAATTAAGTCTCCTATGCTCACCAAGGATGCATTTATTTGATCAAGATACAGTAAAAACAGTAATATTGTGAAATATTATTACAATGCAAAATAACTATTTTCTATTTGAATATATTTTAAAATGTAATTTATTCCTGTGATGCAAAGCTGAATTTTCAGCATCATTACTCTTGTCTTTAGTGTCACATGATCCTTTCAGAAATCATTCTAATATGCTGCTTTGTTTTGTGGAAACATTTTCAGTATTCTTTGATGAATAGAAAGTTCAAAGAACAGCATTTGTTTGAAATAGAATCTTCTGAAGGATCATGTGACACTAAAGACTGGAGTAATTACGCAAAAAATTCAGTTTTGCATCACAGGAATAAATTACATTTTAAAATATTTTACAATAAAAAATAGCTATTTTAATTGCAATACTCTTTCACAATATTAGTGTTGTTTTCTGTATATTTTAACAAAAATGTTGAGCATAAGAGACTTCATTAAAACATTTAAATATTGTAATATTTCCAAACTTTTGAAATACTGTATTTATGCAGTATGCAACCATGGAATAAATTCTAGATCATGCCTTAATTCAGCTCACCATGTGTTGAGGTTGCAGAATGATGCGGACAGTTGTTTTGCGGTCCCACAAAACTGTCAGTCCAATGTCAGCATCAATGACAAGGTACATCCCAATGTTTGTCTTGTTGTAATTGATCTGTGGGCCACTTTCCATATCAAAAGCTGTTACAGTCCCACCATAAAGCTCTAGCTTAGTTCTCTGTAAGAGTTTGTAAGAGAAATAAAAAAAAACTAATTTCAGAATGAATTTATGATCATGTGGAATAGATACAAAATAAATCCTTTGTTTTAACAGTAAATGCAATGTGTTGTATTGAAATTTGCATGCTATTCGGGTTTGTTCATACAGAGATCAGATAGAAACCTAATCTTACCCCCAAAAGGATGACAACAGCCTTTGAGCATGTTGTCCCTGTTGTTCCACAAGGAATATTCTCAGTGATTACATGAAAAAGTCCTGTCTTATTTCCACATTTATCCTTAAAAACAAGAGGACATTACATTACAAACAACAACACAAAAACATACATTATGCCACCCCTCTTGCTGCCTCCTGATTAAAGTGGTTTATTTGTAATAAAAAAAAAGTATTATACTAAATGCCGTAGTGTCACTATGATAGCAAGTCGTATGTCTCATAGGCACAGTAAAGGTGCACAGAAAATAAAAGTACTTGTCTGGTGGTACCTGAGCAGCTATATAACTGCACTCTCCCCTGAAGCCGAATCTCTGCTGGTCGAAAGTTTTATAATGTCCGCTTCCATATATTGTGCAGATGCCTGGACAGATTTTTTTTGTGCATGTCCATGTTCCGTGTTGACAAGTGCTGTAACAAAGTAATACAGAAAGTGGACTTGAATCTATATGAATGTGCAGTATGTTCTAAAAACCCAACTAGTTGATATCTTTTTTGGGATTACATGCATTGATAGATGTTTGTATCCAAAGTGAACTACATTCAATTCAAGGTATACATTTTATAATATTTATTTCATCATACATTCCATGGTAATCAAACCTTTAACCTGCTAGCATCTACTATTTGTGACCCTGGACCACAAAACCAGTCATAAGGGTCAATTTGGTGAAATTGAGATTTATGGATCATCTGAAAGCTGAATAAACCAGCTTTCCATTGAAAATTTGAAATTATTTGAAAATCTGGAATCTGAGGGTGCAAAAAAATCAAAATATTGAGAAAATCGCCTTTAAAGTTGTCCAAATGAAGTTCTTAGCAATGCTTAGCAATGCATATTACTAATCAAATTAAGTTTTGATATATTTACGGTAAGAAATGTACAAAATATCTACATGGAACATGATCTTTACTTAATATCCTAATGATTTTTGGCATAAAAGAAAAATGGATAATTTTGACCCATACAATGTTTTTTTTGGCTATTGCTACAAATATACCCCAGCAACTTAAGACTGGTTTTGTGGTCCAGGGTCACATTTGAGTAACAGGAATGCCCAGAGTCAGACACCAGGAGGTGAGGGCATGCGGCCCCAGTTATAATAAGAAAAAAAATAGTGGTGGGGTCTGTTTTTGAATAATATATATTGATATTTTAGTAGAATTATCCAAGTGTAGATTCTGTGTGGGTCTAGTATTATGGCTTAGTATTCAATGTAACTTTACAAAAAGTGCTAATTAGCCGTGGAAAAGACTGTAGCTTACACACCAGTTATTGCAGTCTACGGTTATCTCAGTCCCTGGTGCATAAAACTGTCCATTGTGAGGACATGGACAGTCATAAGGTTTAACACAGTTTCCTCTGCCATCATCCAGTAGACCTGCAGGACACTGGCAGCCAGATTCACAGTCCTGCGAGAACTGTGGGTGTGGTTGGATGAAGAAGATCAGAGACAGCAAAGTAGAAGAGAGAGAAAGAGAGAGAGAAAAAAAATAGTTACTGACAGATCTAGGGGAGTAAATATTTGAAAAGCATTTTATAATCAGTATACAAAAAAGGTTAACTAGCACTTTCCACAAATAGGGAATAACTAAATATGTGACCCTCGACCACAAAACCAGTCTTAAATCGCTTGGGTATATTTGTAGCAATAGCCAAAAAACATTGTATAGGTCAAATTTATCGATTTTTCTTTTATGCCAAAAATCATTAGGATATTAAGTAACGATCATGTTCCATGAAAATATTTTGTCAATTTCCTACCGTAAATATATCAAAACTTAATTTTTGATTAGTAATATGCATTGCTAAGAACTTCATTTGGACAACTTTAAAGGCGATTTTCTCAGTATTTAGATTTTTTTGCACCCTCAGATTACAGATCTTCAAATAGTTGTATCTCGGCCAAATATTGTCCTATCCTAACAAACCATACATCAATGGATTCAGATGATGTATAAATCTCTATAAATTGACCCTTATGACTGGTTTTGTGGTCCAGGGTCACATATTATACAAACATTTTCAATGAGGTTCTACATTTTTGCAACCCTGTTTTAAGTTGCAAAACCAGCATTTGAGACATATCTAAGATTAAAACCCTGAGTTCTGTATTTTTTAATTCTAGAAAAACATAGTTCTAAAAAACAAGGTAATTCTAAAAAACACAAGAATCTAAATGTATCAAATTAATAAATAAAATGCAAAATAATAAATAAAACATATTTTTATCATTGGTACATTTGCCAACTCTATTTTGATATATTTGCTAAAATTGGTATTAACAGAATTTATTCCATTTCTACAAGAGAGACCAGGCTTTTTTCACACTGTAGTGGACATCTCTGAGGATATGTTTAATTCTGAAATAGGCACATTCATTGAAGTTCTGGTTGCAATAAAACCCACTGAAGTTAATGAAAATGAGATCACTTGGCTTATGATATGGCATTGTGCTACTGGAGTGTTTTAGTAACTATCAATTAGCACTGGAAAATACTTTTAAACTACCTCTTCAATCACTGCCAGGTGAAAAGCTCCTTTATTAGCAGGATAAAGGAGAAATGAGAAAAGACAGATTGGAAACTGGGCTTACACAATCAATTTCCTTTTGCATACAAGTCTGTGCACACAACAATCCATGTTCATCTGGACGTGCGGTACTGCAGTTGAAGAAAATCTTTGGAGGAGGACACTCTGCAAAAGATACCAGACAGTGAAAAAAAGACTCATAGGAAAGAGTTTTATATTGGTAACCATATTTGGAGACGTAAGAAACTGGAGTTTATTTCTAAACAATGGTCAGCCAATTGTTTCACTGTGCAAACATCTGATAGAATAATTATTTTTGTGTGACCATAATTATAGTTAACTCAATATAATTAATTCAATACATGTTAACCACTCGTGGCATCATTTTGATCACCACACATTCCCTTAACCTGATTAAAGTTCTGGGTGTAAAAGAGAGGTATCCAAAAGTGTTTTTTCTTACCCACAATTGGAGGTTTCCAGGACAGACAGCGGAATGTTCCATTCACACAAATACTGGAGAGAAAGTTTTAAGATATTAAGATCACAGTTTGGAAAGTGTATATTTTAACAGTTTTAAATCTTTACAACTACTGCATAAAACTAATATCATCCGCTCACCAGTGTTCATTCTTAATGTTGATAGATGTGCCAGGTTGGACTGTCACTCCATTGTTGTAACATGGACATTTTTCCATAGGTACACACAGTCCATTCTCATCCTGGTAGAGTCCCTCTGGACATGCGCATCCGTCAACGGGCACAAAGTCAACGCTGCAGCTTTGGCGCTCAGAGGCGAGAGACAGACAGGTACGCTGACAGTTCTGCAGCTCATAGGAGTAGTTCTGCGAGGCCGGGCAATTCTCTGTATATTTCTCTGAGGGGATCAGTTTGAAAGGGATTGTGTCTTAAAGATGCATGTTGCACTCTACAAAAACAAAACAGAACCAAAAACTCTAACCTAAAAAAACTGAGTGTATGTGTGGACGTACTGCCTGTTAGTCATCCCACTGTCCACACAATGATCGTTTCTCCTCTTTAAGTATATATTTAGCTTGTAATATATGTGACCATTATAGAGCATGCCATTTCAGTTAACCATATATTGTAAATGGTCTGATATATAGTAAAGGACAACAACTAACTTTAGTAAATATCTGCTTGACCACTGACCAATCAGAATCAAGTATTCCAGAGCCCTATAATAAGTGAAAAGCTTATTTATGAAATTTACAGACCCAATGGATGGGGTATTAGGAAAGGCCATCTATCCAGATACATTTGTATTGTCTTTATTCCATCTTTTACTAGGCTGCTTGCAGCACTAAAAAATAAAATCTGTACCACAAGATATGTTGAAAATCTGTTTTGAAAGAGTCGTGGACTTATATTGAGGATGGCAATAGCTAGTAAAATGGTTGACCTTACTGATTTATATTTATGCATTCATTGCATTTTTTCTGAATTCACTTCTAACATAAAGTACACTGTCATTGGACCTCTTTTTTTTGGGCAATTCTAATGGCAATTCTTATAGATGCTTTCATTTAACTGAAGTTGTTACAAAACACCTTGAAATACAATAGGATGTATTAGTTTTTACCTCAGTCTCACTTCCCCAAGTTACATTTTAAATATAGGCTAATTGTTTGGCATTCTGTGTTTTGTCCGGGATATGAGGGAAATTGTGGGTTTATATAAGGGAGGTTTTGCCCTAGTTACACCTAAATCCAAAAATTCTTTAAAGGGGTGGTTGATTGCGATTTCACTTTTTTAACGTTAGTTAATGTGTAATGTTGCTGTTTGAGCATAAACAATATCTGCAAAGTTACTAAGCTGAAAGTTCAATGCAAACGGAGATATCGTCTTTTAAAATTCTGGCAGTTTAATGCCTACAAAAACG